ATACTTGAACTTTTTTTCTGCTTCATCTCAATGAGTCGCAATTTTCATAGTCAAACATAAAATCACTAGACGTTGAATTTTCGATTGATTCATCCAATTATGTAAATTTCAGTTTTCACAAAGTTTTGCAAACTGTAACGTTCATGATTGAATAAACCGCTTTAATATTTTGTGTAAAACAATTTTTTTTAAATTAGTTTAGTTAAAATAAATTTAATTATTCCAACATTAGCAAAGTCAAAAGACATTACTTTGGACAACATTTGATATTATTATTTTCTTAATAATTAAATTCAAAAGACAAACAATTAACCATTAATTATTTTACACGAATCATTTTGGATCAATGTCCAATATTGAAGAAAGTATCTAAAAATCAATCTTCAATCTGTGCCTGCATTACACAAAAAGTAGTTAACCTATAAATTTAGTATTTTTGCAAAAAAATATTAGAAACCATAAAAGGCTAATTTTTTTGACAGACCAAAATTAAATGGATTTAACCTTTAAAAACAAAAATTGGAATTAAAGTTTTTTTTAAAAAAAATAATTGAAAACTGATTGGAACACATGTTGCAGCGGTAAATTTAATAATTATTGTGCCACTCTGTAAAATAAAAATGTCAACCATTTTTTTTGTTGAAATTGACGTAAATTCATTGTACAAAAACAATTATGCATGTGCGCATAAATGAATTTTAAGCGGTTTAAAGCACTCAGGATAAATAAATCAAAGGGTAATTAGCTAAATAGATTTGTAAAACAGTACATATATATTTTTAAATAATTAATTGTTCATGAACAGAAAATAACAATCAATATATGGTATTCATTTGTCAATTTAATTAGATACTAGATACTAGATACCACATCAAAGTAGCACAAATTCCAAAACACATGAGTTTATAGATATTACTTAAAAGAAGTCAGTAATCATTTCAAAATCTAATCTTCTGGATTCTTCAACACCTCTAGTTCGATTCTCTAAACTTATCTCACTGAATCATACTTCTTGAATAGTATCTTCTAACCCTAACCTCTCCGATTACTTCTAATTCCCTTACTACCTCTACTACTATTGGATTTGAATTGACAATTATATCTCTGTGCTGATATGGTATGGCAACATGAACTGATGTACTTACGTACGAAGTTCTACGTTGCATCTGACTGACTGACTGACTGAATCATTTCAAAATCTAATCAATACAGATATTAGTGCGTAATAGGCTGAGAATGACTTTTACGAAAAAGTAACATGGTACTAATTGATAATTGAACAGAAATTCTACACCTATTTAACCTAGGATTTCTATATTGTACTGGGTCTTTGTGTTTTTTTCTTGAAATCCCATCAAATGTTTTTGGTCATTTAAATGATCTTGATAAAGTTATATAGCAAATAATAAGCAAACGAATAGTGTTTGTTGAAAAATCAATACTCTCAACAGCTCGCTTACGTTAAAATCTTCATAAGACCATTTAGTAAAAAATTTTGACAACTATTTCATCAATAGTTAGTATTCTGAAAGAAAAAAGCCTGTAATCATAATAACGATGCAACGATTAGCATATCTTCTTCTCTTATAAACTGTTTATTTTTCAGTTTGATTGAACTACATAATTTACACTTATTGATTCAACGTTGACGAGACTTTTGTAATGTAATCCTAACATTATGAGATGGTGCAGAAAATTTGTAGAGCTCAGGTGGATGATTGCGAATAGAGTTTTTTTCTCTGGGTTAGATGTTTTGCTTACGAAACAGTATCATCAAAACAAACTTCAGATAGATTTATATCTATCTATCTATTTGTACAGCTCAGGTGGATGATTGTGAACATAGTTTCTGTCCCTCATGTAGATGTTTTCGGTTAAGGAGCTTTCATTGTTCTTCTGAGTAACATCATCAACACAAACTCTAGATCGAAGTCTAGAATGGAAACCTGCGTTTTGGCGAAATTCTCCCATTTTCTGAACAATGAGTTGCACGTCATTCTCATATGATTTTCAGATGGTGTCGGAACTTTGTAGCACTCAGGTGGATGATTGTGAACAACAGTATCATCAGCACAAACTTCAAATAGACTTCTATCTGATAATGATACTGTTGAGAAGAAGAACACTGAAAGCTCTACAATCGAAACATGCAAGTTCAGACAATGAAATTACATCACAATCTAACATTTTCTAAAACTTTTAAAAGTATATATCTATTTTTTATTTTGGTTGGGAAGGTATTTCACACATCATAGACAAAATAAACGTTTATTTTTGTTTGCCTGAGCTAATCTCTTCAACAACCATAAATAAGTCTACAGTTTGTTTTTTATGTGTGTGCTTTATTCTACAATTGTACATACATCATTTCAATATTCATGTGTATGCGTTTTAAATGTCAAATTAGGTAGAAAAGAAAATAGTAGAAGAATCGTATTATTTTTTTTGTAAAATGTCAACAATTTAAAAATGTCAAAATTTTGTTTTAACACGACAAACTACTCTCATTGTTTGTAGTCAAATACAAAATAATATCTGCAATAAATATTTACCAGATATGTCTGCTGTCTATTTACAGCATTTAAAAAAATGAATATGTCAGTGCATATATATATATACTACTGAAATGAAACTTTACAATATAAATAGTAGTTTTTTTTTAAAAAAAAATCACTACAAATGACAAACTGATAAAAAAAAGTGTGCACAATTTTTCATTTGTTAAGTTTGTAAAATAAAAAACTGACAATAATCATCATCATTGTTGCTGCTCTGGTAGATAATGACCATGACAGTTTTTGAATAATTACAAATGAAAGAAAGAAAAAAAAAGATGATCATGATAATAATAATTTAAAAATTAAAAAATTAGTTAATTTGTAGAAAATATTTATCATTCATGATATACTACTAATATTAATGTTATTGATAAAAATTATTAGTGTTCTTAGTACACAGAGAGAGAGGGAGGGAGAGAGAGAGAAATAAACACAATTTACTTTCATTTGACATAAAGAGAGTTGTGTAGATAAAAATCAAAGTGATCTTGATTAAATATGGACATAGTCCCGATTGGTCAGTCAGTTCAGTTAGTTGCAACGTAGAACTTCGTACGTATGTGCATCAGTTCATGTTGCCATAACACATTAGCACAGAGACGCAGATGTCAAATCAAATCCCATAGTGATAAAGATAGTAGAGGTATTAATGGTAATGAAGAAGACTTGGGTTCGAAGATATTATTCAAGAAGTATAATTCAGTGAGATTAGGTTAGAAAGACAAAGGTAGAGGTGTTGTCGGATCCAGAAGCTTAGAATTTCATAGAACACAAAGAGTGGATGCACTTGCGCCACTGCACACGATTCTGAGCCATGTCGTTCAAGGTTTTTAACCATCCGTAACTATCGCCTCGCGGACCCCGATCAGACAGCTTACATCAACCAACATGACTCAGTCCACTTGTCAGTGACTTCATGGAATTCTGTCATGATTTGGTCTGGCCACCCCTAGCTTTCTTCCAACCTGCTCCTTCACCACAAAACATAGCTCCTCGAGGCAGTCGGTGGTTAGCCATACGTAACACATTTCCCAACCACCTCAACTGATGAAGTTTCATCACTTCATCTATTGATCTGCCATCCTTACCTAGTACTCGTTTCCTAACGACAGCATTGCTTACTCGGTTGTCCCACGATATACGAGAAATGCTTCTTAAACATCTATGATCGAATACTAGTAACCTACGAACATCTACTCTTAACGGCCATTTTTCGCATTTATATATGAGAATGAAGCGAACTGCTGTGCAGTACACCCGTCTTTTGATTAGCGAACGGATATCTCGCCTACGCCAGAAGTGACGCAGGTTGGCAAAAGCCAATCGAGCTTTCTATATCTGCGCTGTCCCTATTGGTGACATGTATTTAAGCCCAGAAACAGCATGTTACTCCGCATGAAAATTGTTAGACCCTGCTGATGAGTGGTAACAAGTGCGAAACTTAATACAATGGTTGTCATGTAATTATTATATTCAATTACTGAATTACCATAACTTGGTTACGAGTTATTGTAGTCGAATAGATTTCATAACCGAATTAGTCAGTTTGAAATATTTGTCGCTCTACTTGATCTTATTCTGTTGAACTTAACGACCTTAACAAGCGAATAAAATGGCGTACACTACTTTTAATTATTAAATAAAAATTACTTACTTACCTACTTACGCCTGTTAACGCCAATGGAGCATAGGCTTCCGACCAGTATTATCCAGCCCACTCTATTCTGGGAGTCCCTTTCCAGTTCTGACCAATTTCTGTTCATCATTGTCATGTCTGCATCCATTTCTCGGCGTGATGTACTCCTTGGTCTTCTTCTCTTCCCTTGATCTTGAAAAGTCCAAGTGATGGCTTGTCTTGTGACTCGGTTGGGTGATTTCCTAAATGTGTGCCCTATTCATTTCCACCGCTTCTTCCTGATTTCCTTCCCCACTGGAATCTGGTTTGTTCTCTCCCACAGTTGGTTGTTGTTGATAGTATCTGGTTAGCTGATCCGAAGTATTTTATGTAGACATTTGTTATTAAATACTTATATCTTTCGGATGATGGCTTTAGGAGTTTTTCAAGTTTTCACCACCTACAGTAGAACTAGCTTGACATTTTTACTGAAAATTGTGACTTTGGTGTTTTTTGACAGTTATTCTGAGTTCCAAATGTTCTACAATTAAAGAAATGAGGTCGTACTAAAACGGTGTACACTTCTTTCAATGAATTAATAATATATATATACATACTTTCTAAAATACATGTTACTGTTTTCCGAATGATATTCATTTCTATATAACTAAAAACACAATTCTAATTTATTTCTTACCTCTTTTTTCTTTTATAACAATTTCAGTCCCAAAGAAAATGTTTATCCATTCATCAGATAAATCAAACAACACAAAGACGCAACTGAGATTACTGAGATTACAAATTCACATTCACAAACAACACTGACGATGCAATTATCAATTCGAATTGATTTCTATCAACACACCTACACATTATTGATTTTTACATTACTACTTACAATCAACTCCAATCAATTCATCTCTTTGAATGCTCAAACTACACGTCTTATTCGAATGAAAGAGAATACACCAACTGGTACAGTGATTATACCAAATGTAATAAATTTTCTACATGGACGTAGTTACACATCCACGGAACATTATGACAATGATCAAGATAAAACTAAAGATTATTTGCTAGCTATTGGGAATTCCGTAATGCAAGGTGCCAATTGGTTTGCTATAGATGATATTAAAAAAAGTTTATATGTGAAAATACCACCAGACAGAGATATACTATGTCCGAATGAACAAAAGCTACCCGAAACTGCTGTGTCGATTGCACATGGTGGTGTTGAATTCCCAGAGTATAATTTAAATCCTACAACCAATTATAATGTACAAATTACAAATAATAATAATAATATTAATAATAACGATTGTCTCATAAAATTATCCATAATTCATGGTTCATCAGCAAATCCTTCATTTGATTTAATCACAGTGATACTGGAAGATGTAAATGATCATGCACCAAGTTTTAAAGAGATTCAATCAAATTTAGATAGTAAAACAAATGAATTTATAATCAGTGTGCCAGAAACACCAACGATAATTGATAAAAAAGACGAGTCGTCTAGCACGAAGCATAGAACTGACTATAGGCCAGTAAGAATTCTACTACCAACAGCTGTGGATCCAGATCAAGGAGTGAACAGTATACGTGGTTATCGACTAGAAGGTGAAGATGCTTTTCATTTTCGACTTGAAGTTGGTCCTTTAATAGACAGCGACTTAAGTTATCGTGTTCATAAAGAATTTCAACAAGTTGGATTATTTCAAGATCATAAAACAAATCGATTATGGTTGGTACCAGTTCGAAATGGAGGTGGCGCAGCAGCAGACGCTACAAATGGTGTGGAGCTGGATAAAGAACATCGAAGTGAATATCATTTTGTTTTAGTTGCCTATGATGGAGGATCACCAGCACGAATGGGTAAACTACCTATTCGATTATTGATTGAAGATGTCAACGATCATTCACCGGAATTCAACCAGGAATTCTATACAGGACGAATGTCAGAAAATGATCCTGGTGGTCAGATTCTTTTTGAATTTTCCGCTAGAGATAGAGATAATACCAAAGAGAATGGTTTAGTGAAATTTCGTATACCAGGTCAAGCAGACTATAATCCAAATGATGCTAATAGTATTATTGGTCAAAGAGATAGTAGGATTAGTTTAACAGAAAGTCAACTAATTGCTGCCGAATTATTTTCAGTAGAATTTCCTATTGAAAAATCAACCAATGATTTATTAAGTACGCAAGAAAATTTTCACAATAGCACTGTTTATGGTCGACTTATTATAAAACGTCAACCAAAAGAGAAAATTCAACAAGCTGCTTCTAAAGCTATCACAATTGCTAGACAAAATCAACTGGTTAACAGTGCAAAATTAGGATTAAATTTTGCGCCACAACATCCGATTCACACAAACGAATTGTCTTCCAATCATGGCGATCAATTACAATTTTTCATTGAAGCCTATGATAATGGGGTGACATCGTTAGTCACTAAAGTACCTGTAATTATTCTAATCACCGATGTCAACGATCACCCTCCACAAATATTCATTTCATATCTTAAACCTACACGACCACTTACTCCAGTAAATTCCTACACAACGGATAGACGACAAATATGGGGTAAGATCGTAGAAAATCTAGATCGATCCATGATAGCTCAAGTCACAGTGACTGATAAAGATTCAACGCTTACACAATCCGATGTGATTTGTAAAACAAATGATAGTCGATTTTCACTTGAAGAATTAACTAACAGCTTAGACAGACCAGATGATCTTACTTCTTCCATATGGCCTCGGAACAACTTGTACACATCGAATAATATTGATCCAAAATCTCATTATCAAAATAAACCATTGACAAAAATGTACAAACTTATGTCGATTACATCGTTAGATAGAGAATTCAGTGATAAACAACCGTCATTTTTAAAATTTTCAATTATTTGTATAGATAATCAACATGATGAACTTCCGGGTGGTTCTTTGACATCACAAGCTGATATATTTCTTGAAATCGATGATGTCAATGACAATCCACCTGTATTCGATCATAATGAGTATACATTTCATTTACCAGAAAATTATCCCAAATTAAAATCAGAACATACTATGAATCCTTTGGAAATCGACAGATATCCTATTGGTATGGTACATGCAAATGATAAAGATGGCGGTATTCATGGAAGTGTTGAATATAAATTAGTTTCAAATCCAAGTGGTTCTATACAAATTGATCGATTCAATGGAATGATTAATGCAACTCAACCATTTGATCGTGAAACTATCAATGAATTGACATTTCAAGTAATTGCAATCGATTGTACCGCTGTCAATGGAACAAATGAACGACAATGTGACATGTCGATGCGGCTAACCGGAACAACGAATGTTCGTATTATTATTGATGATTTGAATGATTCACCACCGATTTTTCAAGAAGCTAATTATCATTTTGAAGTTGAAGAAGGCGTAGATCTTGTTAAAGTTGGTCAAGTTTGGGCTATTGACGCGGATCAAGATGAGTCGGCACGTATTTCATATCGTTTAGCTGTTGGAATGAGCAATCGATTTAAAGAGTCAATAAAAGATGGAAATTTTGTGGAACAAATTACAAAATCCAGCACAACCACCAATAATAATAATAATAATAATCAGAATCTTTACGATGAAGCACTTGAGATTACAACTCATTTTCAAATTGATCCAAGAAGTGGACTAATTCACTTGAAAGGAAGATTAGATCGTGAAAGACGAGCACATTATGAATTCGTTGTTCTAGCATTGGATAATCCTAGATCTATACCAACTAAAATTGCTGGTTATCAAAGACAAGCAACTAGTGAAGTGATTCAGTACACTGCAACAACCACTGTTCTCATTACTGTATTAGATCATAACGATAATGCTCCAAGAATACTAAGTCCATTAAATCATGTAGAGTTTATGCTTAGCCCAGATCAACTGATAGCAGGCAATACAATTTTCACTATACGAGCTACAGATCCAGATTTAGGTGAAAATGGTACCATTGAGTATAGATTACTTCATGTAGAAGATGATCTTGGGTCATGGAATGTTGGTGAATCATTTCAGCGATCGAATCAAGCGATCAATCATGCAAATACTACCGATACAAATTTGCCAATCAGTCAAGATAGTAAATCTCCTCCTAATGACAAAGAACTAATCGATAATTATCCATTTGCTGTAGATCGAACAGCAGGTATATGTTATCTACGTGAAAATCTACCGCCATTAAATGTTGACGGTCCTCGTGCTTATATGCTTCGTATATTAGCTTATGATTTAGGTAGACCTGATAGTTTAAATACCACATTGATTGTTCGTGTAGCACGTCAAATTAATTCAGTTGGAGATATTTCAAATGGTCTAGTCTATTCGAATCGAATGAATGCTAAAGAATATAGACAAACTGGTAGGATGGATACACATCAACATTTATTCGCCTCCTTATCCAACAATGAACATGATTCTACATTAGACAGTAAAGTCGGTGGAACATGGACATCAGCAGGACAAGCAAGAATATCCGATAAAACTATGGTTGTGATTTTATCCACTGTCTTTGTATTGTTACTGTTGACAACCATTGTTCTATTATTACTAGTTCGTTATAGACGTCTGTTAATACGAACTATACCGTTAGAACAAAGTTTAGCATGTGATGCTCCGGATTCAAAAGCCAATGAAGGTTTTGCTGCAGGTAAGCTCAATTTAATTAAGATTAACATTATCTTGAATAACATGTATTGTATGCAAGAAATTGTTAAGTAATATTGATAATTGAACAGATTACTGAAGTGTTACCAACGTTTTGATATCCGATTGGCTTTTGCCAACCTGCGTCACTTATGGCGTAGGTGTGATATCCGTTCGCTAACCAAGGGACGGGTGTACTGCTCAGCAGTTCGCTCCGTTCTCCTATATGGATGTGAAACATGCCCGTTAAGAGTAGAAGATGTTCGTAGGTTACTAGTATTCGATCATAGATGTTTAGGAAGCATTGCTCGTATATCGTGGGACAACCGAGTAAGCAATGCTGTCGTTAGGAAACGAATACTAGGTAAGGATGGCAGATCAATAGATGAAGTATTGAAACTTGATCAGTTGAGGTGGTTGGGACATGTGTTACGTATGCACAACCACTGACTGCCTTCTCGAGCTATGTTTTGTGGTGTAGGAGTAGGTTGGAAGAAAGTTAGGGGTGGCCAGACCAAAACATGACAGAAATCCATTAAGTCACTGACTAGTGGACTGAGTCATGTTGGTAGATGTAGACTATCTGGTTGAGGTCCGCGAAACGGTAGTAACCGATGGTTAGAGACCTTGAACGACATGGCTCAAAATCGTTTTCAATGGCGCAAGTGTATCCATTCGCTGTACTCTCTCAAATCCTAATCTTCTGGGTTCGTCGGCACCTCTAACTTTGTCTTTATAACCTTATCTCATTGAATTATACTTCTTGAATAATATCTTCGAACCGTATTCTTCTTCATTACCATTAATACCTCTACTATCTTTATCACTATGGGATTTGATTTGACATTTGCGTCTCTGTGCTAATGTGGTATGGCAACATGAACTGATGTACATACGTACGTAGTTCTACGCTGCTACTGACTGACTGATATCCCATTGGTGGAATTCATTGAAACCGATCTGGTTCATAAATAGTTTTAATGGAGAATTCCCGATCGAAGTTAATTCTAATTCGTTAGATATTAGAAAACCTAATTTATTGATAATTAAAGTCAACCTTATTTCAATTGATCAAGTTTGGCTAAGGCTGGTGAGCTTTTAGTGGCTCACCATTGAACTCCTATTCCTACGGTCGATTGAACATGCTATGGAGGAAAAACTTTCTTTCAATTTTCATATGTCATACTTAGACGAACTCTATTTGTGCAACGGCTGTTAAAAGAAGATAAATTCGATTTTGTGAATAAATTTATTTTATGCATTCATCTAAGCAGACAGACAAGCGAATGAAAAGCGTACAAACGAAACGAAGCGTGTAATGGAGAAGGCGAGTGAGCCAACTCAATGCATTGAGGCATAACTAAGTATATAAAGTCAGACAAAATAAGCTAGACAGATGCTAAAAGTGAAGTAAGTGTGCACAAACACACTCGAATGAAAGCAGTCAAGAGATAAAAGTTAATATTTGGCAAGGTCGAAAGACGTTTAAGTAACTCAAAAAGAGTGGATTGATTAATTTTTTCCCAAAGGCTTGGAACAAGCCCTACGGGATCGATATATGACTGACAACATACTAAAAAGTATAGAACTAAATTACAAATGGAACTAGTTATTAGGCATTAATTCATAGTGCCCTCAATAGAATTTAAAATATGATCGTTAGATGAAGTTAATCGACAATGATTTATTCTGTAGTTTCATGTTAAAAACATATCATCTCGATGCAACCACTAAATCCTCTGAATTGTTGATCGGTTTAGCTTTTAGTAATGATCGGGTCAAGATTGACTATGATCACTACTAGATACTAGTTACGAACCCGTCACTAAGAAGATGAATAAATCCATGTTAAAGAATACCGAAATCGATGTTAAGTGGTTGGATTTATATTTGCATGAAATCTTGGACCTCATTTTAATACTAGTTGACCATAATTATATGAAGCTAAAGTTGGTTTGAGTAACTCAGTTTACACACCATGAACATGTGATGTATTGTTTGTTTTAAGGGGCAGTTGATTGGCTGTGCACTTTTCCACAGTCATTTATTTTACTCTCTAATGTAACACAACAAACTGTTTCTTATATTAGGTGCTTGTTTAACATAGATAATAGATAGGTGACTCTAGTTTCAGCAAGTCAGTCAGTCAGTTACAACATAGAACTTCGTACGTACGTACATCAGTTCAGGTTGCCATACTGTATAAGCACAGAGACGCAACTGTCAGTTCAAATCCAATAGTGGTAGCGATAGTAGAAGTATTATTGGTAATGGAGAAGATTAGGGTTCGAAGTTATCATTCAAAAAGATGACTCCAGTTTATTTATCTGTCATTAGTAGGCTTTTCATAAATGTTAGTTTTTAATACCAATCTATCCAATAAACACACATTAGATGATCATAAAATGATATTTTACAAAATTTACAGTACAGAAGACTTTTCTTTAAAATAATTCCTAATTTGTGATAATACACATATCATACCAATGTTCATATTGTTCAAAACAACATAGAAAGTTGACTAACGTTATACTTGCATTGTCGTTTCTCAGTATCAAGTACATTGATTCAATGATCTGAATAAACTGCTCTCTAAGAATTACTTTCATTAACAGTTATCCGGAAAATTAATCAATAACTGATAACCATAGGATGCTGTACATGTTTTATCTTTCAATTATTACTGTAAATTGATAGTTAACCTGGGTTTACATCATTACTGATGTCTGTACGCCTTAACAATGAGACATTGAATTCATTTTTGAAAGAAAGCTTACTTTATTTATCTTCAAGAACAATCTTCAACATTTTACAGATTTTGTTTGTTTAATTACCTACATTAGTATCAAAAGTACTAAATCACTTCGTGAATTTTTTATTGAACTGACATTATACAAAGAAGATATGATTTATGTTATATAAATCTGTAAACTTATCTATTTTTGTATGATATTTTGTTTCGGATAAAACAACCCTGTCGAGAGTGTTGGCAGTCACTACTGAAAACAAATGGGTAAGGCCGGTGGTTGGATTCCTACCCAGTGGTTCCGAGGTTAAGCGTTCGCGCGTAAGATCGAAGGTCCCGGGTTCGAATCCTGCGAGTAGCAGGAGTCGTGGATGCGCACTGTTGATGAGTCCCATACCAGGACGAAATGGCTGTTTAGTGCTTTTAGGTGTCTAATGGTGGTCTAATAATGATTCATTTATGATTTCAGTAAAAAATCTGAATAATAAATTCCTTCATTAAAAGAAAATAATTAGTAAACAGGTTTACAGAGAGAAATCGTTGAATTATCATTGTTTAAATCATGAAGTTACGATGAAGAGTTCATCTTGGCAACCAGGAAGCATTATACGATTGTTTTTTCCCAGTATGAAAATCCATAACGATACACATTCACAACCCAACCTGGAAACGAACCCGAGACCTTCTGTCCGATGCATAAATGCCTAACCTCTAGACCACCAGTATCCGATAGTGTACATTTCTTGGTTCGCTGTATAGTACAAATCGATTTTCCATCGTATGTGATAATAATTATCACTGAACTTCATTGGTTACGGCTTCTGACGACCTCCAATGCTTCTTAGTTTCAAATGATGGTCTGGGTAATAACATTTCATGATTTAAACCGCCTTAAAAATGAACTCCAACTATTCCTATTTAAATGTATTTATGATTTTCATTACAAAGTTATGAAGATAGTTGAGTTTCCTTTGATTGATTGAAGTTAGACATTAACACGGTTGAATGCCGACTCAGCTCGCACTCGAGACCTAAGGTTCTGTCTGATTTTGATTTACTCCTGTGGGCACCGTAAATGCGGACTGTTGATGAGTCCCACATCAGGATTCTATTGGTGGTCTAACAATGACTAACTCATGATTTTAATAAATGCATTAGGTTATTAAGTAATCCAAAATTGAAAGTAACCATAAGGTGGCATGATGCACTTGAAGTGTACACGGAGAATGATGTAATTAGCACGTTGTTTTTAAAAACTACTTCAGTTTAATGTTGCTTATCTAAAGTTTTAAGTGGAAGCATTAAATCTTTACCTTTCTTTATGGATGATTACGTAAGAAAAACAACTGACATGTCATAAAATCACTTCATAACACCAATAACTTGAAACAATGAACACCAAAACTGAACTCCTGTAATTGACCTGCAGCAAAACGTTAAGTGGATTTAAAAAGAAGCATAAAACACAATAAAAAAATGGGAATGAAAAATGAAAATCGGTTAGAAACAAAAATAGGAATAATAATCTTTGTCTGCTTTTTGTCTCAAGTGATATGACCCATTTGAACTTTACTGTAATTTTCACTTGATAACATGTTTACTTTGTTGTTACATAACATAATTGAAAATCTCTGTTTCATGTGTTTTATTTTGTTTACTTACTAAAAATTTCCATTTCATTCGACTAGTAAACTACAAATGCCCTGTTGTATAGAATGGTAACTATTTTTTTTAATTGTTACCAATATGTATTATTATGTAGTGTGAACTATGCGGAATCATAAATAGCTTGATAGTTATTTCTGTATGGTTTAAAATTATCTGAACAGAGAAATGAGAAGACATATTTTGTGAGAGATAGTACCATTTCGTGCTTTCTCGTCAGTCACATACATACAAGCAACATGTTATTTGTGTAAATACAGTTTTGAAGATAAGGTCAAAATTTCTTATTTAGCATGACATTCACTCACTAGAACCATGGTGGTAAACAAAGGTCAAAATACAGTTGTTTTTGAACACATAAAGTTGGACTTTTCGGACCAATCAAGATAGCTTCGAGTAGATTCAGTGTGTGTGGGTTTTGATTACATGTCACAACTCTAAAGGCTGATTTTGGGTCAATTTGATGACCACTCATCATTAGATGTTTTGCAATGGACGAGGCTGAGTTTCTTGATCGATTTTGAGATGACGGGCTAGGTGGTGGATGAATCATGGATTTGATTAACCATTTTCGAATATGTTCGCCTATCCTG